ATTAATTTATAAATTTTTTATTAATTACATATAAACCAATATTACTTACTATCTGGAATATTAAGATTCATTTGCTTACTATCATTAACTTTTTATAAAATGATATATCAAATAAATATTAAATTAAAATTTAATTTAAAAAATTTTAAATAACGTCCTTTCTATTTTCCTTTTTATTTATTATAAATAACTTACCTTTAGTAGCATTTCTTGGTTCAGGTAAATCTTTAAAAGTATAAATATTACTTAATTTACTAATTAATGGATTAATAGAAGTAGAACTAATAATTGATTTTGTATTTAATTGTATACTATCTGATTTATCATTTTTATTTTGATAATAAAAACTTTGCATTTTTTTAATTTTATTATAAAGAATATTATTATTAGGTCTTTTTAATGGATCAGCATCCCAACATTGTTCCATTAAATTTTTATATTCTAATGGAGTATCTGGTACTATTTTTGGTCTCATTCCATTTACTATTTTCATTGCAAGATCATAATCATGATTAAAATCAGCAAAAGGAGGTTGTCCAGATGAAATCTCCCACATAATCATACCAATACTATAAATATCTGACGCAAACGTATGTCCTCTTCCAATAATAACTTCTGGTGCTATATAAGGAAGATTACCATATATACATTCTAATGGTTTATTAACAGGACCACAAAATCCAAAATCACTAATTGTCCAAAGACTGAAATATTGGCAATATAATATATTTCCCGAATGCAAATCTCTATGGATCAAATTTTCTGTATAAAGACGAAAATATGCTTCATTTATGTTTAAAATAATATCTATTCTTTTTTTCCATGTAATTTGATTTTGTTGTAAATATTTTCTTAAATCTGTATTAGCTATACACAATACAATGAAATAATCTTCATTTTGAAGATTTTGAGTAAGACCATAACAAAGAGCAAAATATTTGCATTTATTACTTAATCTTATTTGAGTTTCAGCCTACGAATGAGAATTCAATTGATTAGCTACCATTATTTCTAAAAAAAAAAAAAAAAATCTTAAAATTACTACCTCATCAAACCAACTTCTGTTAGCATTTTTTACATTTACTAATTTTTTGAGTATTACTTTGTGTCTTCCAAACCTTGTTAATCGTTGTTTTTCAGAATCCCATTCGACATAGGATCCATCAATCCAATCTGCTATATAAATTTCAGAAATTCCACCTTTAGTTAGATACTCGATATTTTGTAATTTATTATATGGTATCCACTCCACTATTTTATAATAAGAAATTGTTTCCATCTGACATCTCTTTATTAAGTTATCAATTTCATTATTTCCAGATGTCCAATTTGAAAATTTTGATTTTAAATAACTTCGCAAACATTGCTCGCAATATATTGCTAAGCATTCTTGTTTGCAATGTTCACAAACTCTTTTCGTTCCAAAATGTAAACCACGTCTATGGTCATAAAATTGATTTAATTTTCTTATTGCTTCCGAAATTTCCTCATTTGTGAGATATTCGTCAGCGTAAATTATTTGTTGCATAGATTCATGCCATTTTTCTTCGTTTATGTAAATGTTGAAATCAGATGATCGAAATACTCTATCCAATACATCACTAACTAATTCTCTACGAATGGAGGCCATAATGCGATGAAATAGAAAATAATTATTCAATAAAGGAAGTTTAACGGAATTTGAAACTTGCTTTTTTCAAAATAAAATATGAGAGCTATTTATTAACATTGTTTCCATAGATTAATTTAGTTTTGAGATGATGACGATCAAAAAGAAAAAAATGTTACACCGCATCGTAATAAACACTTCTAACCAATAATAAATTTTGCATATTGAAATGCATATTTAAACTTGCGGATCAGTGTTGGCCTTTGGCCAGTGGCCATTTGGCTAATTTGGCCGGTAACAATTGCTAAAAAAATTTTAGCCACAGCCAAATGCCAATCAATACACCTAGTTATTTGGTCATTTTGGCCATTGGCCACGGCCAAATGGCCAAATGGCCAAAAAAAAATTCCCCGGCCGCGGCCAAATTCCAACAGAGGGATATTTTTATATTAAATTGCCTTTAATTTATATTTATTTTGTAATCTTGAAGCCTCTCTAACACTATGATATAAATAATCGTAAGGGAAAAAAAATGACGGCACTTTTTATAATATACCAATTTAGAAATCGTGAAGTGGTCATTTGGGAAATCTGAAGTGGTCATTTGAACACTCCAAAAGTGGTCTTTTAAGTGAGCATTTGGAACATTTGGGATATCCGAAATGTTTATTTAGACGAATGCACTTTTGGAGCAAGTGCATATCTTCGCATTTCGGACATTTGGAGATCGTAAAATTTTAGCATTATGTCCGAGAGAATATTCTTTTTAAAAACAATATGGCCTAGCGTTAAATTATATTTTCAATTTTTGCAGATTCCTGATACCAGTTAAAATTCTTGTTATTTGGAACCGGCTAATTATTTAACCACCGGTAATTATTTTTAAAATTTAGTTATACGGTTTAACCGAAAATGATTAACCGGTTAAAATTTTAATGACGGTTCCAATCACTAGCATTATTACTATTATTAGCTGATTTCCAATAATCTTTAATGATCATGAATATTTAAAACTTATAAAAAATATAGATACTTTAATAATTGATGAAATTTAAATGGTAAATTTATATTCTGCATCGAAGTTATTCTGGTTATCTGCCAATTGAATGCTTTTCTAAATCCATTTCAGTCCTTCATCACTTTTACAATAAAAAAACAATTCTGCTTACAGAGCGATAATTTGGACCGTAAATCATCCGTGTTTGTTAATTTTGAAACTTAATTTCGGTCAGGTTGTCATTTGCCAAAATGCCTCCTGGCCTTATAAAGAAATTTTAACTTTTTTTTTTTTTTTTTTTTTTTTAGAAATAAAAAATAGTATACGGGCTTGCTGAAATATTATTCCCTTTAACGTTAATAACAAAAATAAATTATTATGAATTGATTGATGTGTCATTCGACAATGGAGTACCTACTTATTACATAAATAATAACGCGATGAAATATTATGCCATGTAAGATTCATGCAGATCATCCTTATGTTTCAAAAGAATAGGTAAAAATGGTCCCTTGCAAATAAAAACTAATTAAACTTTTTTTTTAAAATAATAAAAAAAAAATTAAGGAGTTGAGCTGTCTTCATGCAAAACCAATTTTAGTCAATACGGAAGAACAGAGGTGTGAAAAAAAATTTGATAGTGGTAATCCTTCACCTATGTGCAGTGATGTGCACTTAGAAGGTTGGAAGCATCCTTGGAAGCATTTTTGGAAGCGTTGGAAGCATAATTCTCTAATAAATTCATTTGGATTGAAAGCTTCTAATCAAATTTTATACTGTTGGAGAGAATAAGTAACAAGATTTTTATGGATTTGAAAGTTAGATGATTTATGGGAAATATTACAAGTTAGCTTACTTCAACTAAGATGGCCATTGGGTCGTTATTTATTTTTTAAATTCCATTATTGTTCTTTTTTTGAAGATAATAAAAATTATAAGTTTTAGGTATACGACATCATTTTTCACTTGAATTATTTATTAATAGCAATACTAACCTGGTTAGGCCATGCAACTTCGATTTTTCGGTTCACATCACCCGGCCGGGTCACTTTTTCAAAATATTAAAAGTTTATAATGTGACTATAAAGTGTAATTTTATTAGTAGATTAAATTAAAGCTTTATTGTATTATCGTAATTATAATTCCTTTCTTACAACTCATTAGTTTCATGCAGCTTCCCAAGCAATACATTGTGCTGAAACTTTTCTCCAACTAATGTTTTTGATGGGTTAAACTTCACTTCAAAATCTGCTTCCCACCAGTCAGGTGATAAATATAGAATCGATATATTTCCAAAAAAATCTTTTATTTTTGGTAACTTATTTTTACATGTATAATAGGCATTCGGAGTTAAGATGATTTTGAAATGAAATGTGATTGTCGTATAATAGGAGGCCGGGCAAAGAAAATTTAGATAAAATTTTAAAATTGACACGGTCACCTGGTTTTTTTTCTTTTCTTTTTCATACACAAATAAATTACACAAATAAAGATAAATTTATGTAAATCTTCTTTCGCCGACAAAATCTGATGTGCCGATTTTATTATGTAAGGTCACATGATATAAATTTTAGTATAAAAAAAATTTTTTCGTAAACTGACACGACCATTTGAAAATTTACTTTGCACGGCCTTGTCCCCTTAAATATTGACCAATTAAATGGCATAATATTTATATATAGACTTTTTTTATTAATAAAAAATAATCATTAATAAACTCCGGGTCGATTTTAAAATTTCAATGTTACGTGAACCGAAAAATAAAAGTTGCATGGCCTTATATAAAGTTGATTATATAGGAGCAACAAATACTTTTTAGTAAAAGGAAAATTTTGAGAATGCGATTGTATTGTATAAAGTGTTACTGATTTGGTTTGATGTGTTGTAATTGGAACTTTAATTTCCAGTGCATTTTTTTGATTAAATAGGGGAGTCCTTTATTTGTATTTTGGTATTTGTTTGATTGTCGCATAATATACATATATAATTTTTAAAATCTAAAAAAATAATTATCAAAAAAAATTATTAATTGAAAATTATTGAGCCTTCTGTCAAAAACGCAAAAAAAAAGCCGTTCGTCTTATAATAAGTTAATTCACCATCGAACTTTGGCATATAACCCCGTAAAAAATTTCCCTATGTAATTAAATATATTGAAATTAACAGTATATTCACGAAATCGTTATTTTATCTTAATTTCTAAATCATAATTCATAATATTGGAATGGATTCTTTCGTCATACACATAATGTAATTTATATCCATTTTTCTCTAATCACTTCATTGTAATAATTCATCATATTCGTTCTTTTGAAGTTTTATAGAATTGTTTTAAGTGCGAGTATATAACAAGTTAAGCTAAACTCCATTTGATTTTCGATTTTCAAGCAGCTAACTTTATTTGGAAGACAAGAAGCGGTTAGATCCTTTTTTAAGTGATTATTTATGGAAAATTACGGCAGGAAAAATTTAAACTGAGGGCTGTGTAAAAGTATTTTTATGCAAGAAAATAAAATAAAAGCCCTCGACCAAAAAAAAAAAAAAAAAAATGGATTCAAATAATTTAGAAAAAAAACCTAAAAAATTTGGTAGAGAGAATTAAGGAATTAGAGCAACAATTCAGATATTTAGAAAAAAAAGTTACAAGGTAAGAAGAAACCAAAGTCAATATTAATAACTTGGAAGAGAATTTTAGAGGGCGAGAAGAAGAAACTAAAGCCAATATTAATAAACTAGAAGAAAAGGTTAGAGAACGAGAAGAAGAAACTAAAACTAAGCAAAAAATTATTAAAAATTTAGAAGAAAAGGTTATAGAACGAGAAGTGGTTTCAAAGAAAACAAAAAATTATTAACGAATTAGAAAAGAGAATCGGAAATCTTGAATCAATTATTTATGATGTAACTATTACAGATATTAATAAGGTTGACATATTGAACACTTTAGGTGGATTGCAAAGATATCGAAATTTGACAAAATTCAAATGTAACAATTCTCAAATAACAAACTTACCAACATTACCTACCTCCTTAACTGTTCTGAAACTCAAGTAACAAGCCTACCAAATTTACCTAATCCCTTAACGATAATCGACTACTTCCCTACAAACTTCTAACACCTTGATGCAAAATAACAATTTAGTTTTTTTGTTTTAACTAACATTTGTTACTTTTTAAACTTAAATAATAAATGATCGATCATTTAATTCACAACCAATTTTCATTTTCAGTTGTTTAGAAAGATATTTGAGAATTTAAATTTAAAGAACTAGCGATACAACCTATTCCCTAACCCTTTCTCAAAATTAATCTCTTCTGATGAATTTTATGATGTTATTAATTCTTTTTCTAATATAATTACATATAAGAGACGAATTTTGTTAGTAAAGACAATTTTTTTTTTAAAAAAAAAAAGAATACAGTCAGAACTCGATATAGCGATCCGCGATAAACCGATTTTGGCCTATAACGAACTTTATTCTTAAACCAAAACCACTTATAATAAAATTTATCACTATATAGCGATTTTAT